GAAGGTGTGACAGGTGATAAATGGCAGAGAGGAGCGAGTCAAGGAGAAAGGGGGAAGGGAGGGAAGAGCGCGAGAGGGTGCTGGGTGGGAAGTCTGCTTGCCATTATTCACAGCTACCGAGAGCACCCCACGGTCAGCTGGCATCGGCCATCTCCAGTCCTCTCGACAGTGATGAATGGTGGTGCAGATCCTTCCTCAGCACTGCGATTTCACACGCCTGATGGGATCTGCATGAGCCTCTGAGCCCGTGGAACACCTGCCTTGCTGGGCCAATAGTTCAGTGGTGTTCACAGCAAGACGCAGAGCGGTCCAGTGGCTTGGGCATCAAATGAGTGTCCAGATGTGGGGTCTACACCTGGCTCTGTCACCAACCAAGCAGTCAACTCACTGCCCTTCACTTTGGCACCCTCTCCTCCCCACTTTGTCTGCTGTGCATTCAGGCCATCGGCTCTTCAGGGCATGGACTCCCTCTTATCGGCTGTACTGCACCTGGGCCTATGATCCCCACCGGGCCCTTCGCACGATACGCTCTAATTAATACAAATAGGAGAGTATCTCTGGAGCACTCCTCTGCTTGCAATCTTGAGTCGGATAGATATAGCTACACAGCTCCCACCATTTCAACAGACAGGCACTTGACAAACTTCCCCAATGGAGTTACCCATAGGAATCATTTAGCACCAGGGAGGCCACATCTGGAGTCCTGCGTCCAGTTTCGGGTCCCCCACTGCCGAAAGGATGTGGACAAGAGGGAGAGAGTCCAATGGAGGGCAACTAAAATGGTTGGGGGGCTGGGGCACATGACGTACAGGGAGAGGCTGAGGGGACTGGGCTTATTTAATCTGGAGAAGAGAAGACTGAGGGGATTTAATAGCAGTCTTTACTACCTGAAGGGTACCAAAGAGGATGGAGCTGGGCTGTCCTCAGTGGGGGCAGATGACAGAAGGAGCAATGGGTTCAAGTTGCAGCAAGGGAAGTTTAGATTGGATATTAGGAAAAACTCTGTCACAAGGAGGGTGGTGAAGCACTGAACCAGGTGACACAGAGAGGTGGTGGAGTCTCCATCCGTGGAGGTTTTGAAGACCCGGCTACACAAAGCCTTGTCTGGGATAATGTAGTTGGGGCTAGTCCTGCTTGGAGCAGGGGGTTGGACTAGATGCGACCTCCTGAGCTCCCTTCAACCCTCATTTTCTAGGATTCTGTGATTTTGCCTACCGACAGCATGCAGCCACTTCTGAGGTGGAACCATTTTATTCATGCCTTGCAACCCTACACGGATGCATTAATCAGAAATCGCAGGGCCCTGCATACCATTGGAACGACCAGGAGAATCGGCATCAGGCAGACCAGCGGTAAGGGGAGCACGGTGAGCAGTCTAGCTCCCACACAGCTGACGGCAAAGGCCTTGCTGACATGTTTCCAGCAGAGCACATGGCAAAAGGCTCAGAAACACCCGTTTTAATTAAACCTTGACTTCAGACTAGAACTCCCACCATGCCAGGGATGAGGTTGCTCCCCACCCTGTCAGCACACAGAGCACCATACCTGGTAAAAGGAAAGCAGCCAGCTTTCTGCAGACAGCACATTTAATGCTTGCCTGGTTCTCTGATGATCTACAGCACTAAATAGGTGCTTTGTGCTACTGAAGATCAGAGCAGTTGTAACCGTGTGCGCTTCAGTGATTTTAGGCCACCTGGAATGAATGAGAGACGGTCCCTTCACTTCCCGGCTCTTGAAGCATTGCCTGCACTTTGCACTGCTGTGTAGAACTGGATATTTGGGGAGGGGGGAGAAAATGATGTCTATGAAAGGTTTTACCCCAATGGCATCTTTTTTACAGGTCACGGCGCATGATGGATCTAACCCACAGCATCGCTTATCTCCTGGCCCATTGCAAAAGGTCCTTTTTCCCATGCTTGTCTTTAAGACACCACCACTATGTCCTGCATTTCAGCCTCCAAAGCTGCTGCTCTACTTTGCAATGCATCCTTTTAGTGTCTTGTTTTGCCTTGCAGATGGTAAAACTTTTGGGTGGAGGCTTCCTCCTGGAGCGGCAGGGCCATTGCTCTTTCCTCCAGGGCACACGGGTCCACTCCCCACCTCCTTGCAGCTTCTCCCACTGAACAAACTAATTTCTCTTACTTACATCCAGTGTCATCACCATCCAGCTGAATGTTTTGCTATGCATGGAGGTATTTCATAGGGGATGAATCTCCTCACTGCACTTTTTCCACTGGAAACTTAATAGAAACCATGGAGTACAAAAATGGAACATGCCAGATCAAATGCATTGTAGGGGAAAGGGCAGAGAGGTCACAGGAGTTGCAGCAAGAATGAATTTGGTCCCCATCAGGATCAAAAATAATACTTCTCAAACCAAGGCCAAGTTTTCACATTAGGACGTGCAAAGGCAAGTGCTTGTGAGTGCCGACGCACAAGTGTGCTGTTTCTGTGTGGCTATGGGTATATGCATTTGAGAGGAAAGAATTTACATGAGGAATCATGACTTGGCTTTTGCTGAAAGGTCAAGTGGGAAAGAAGGGTTTAATTAAATTATCATCTTGTGACCACTCAGCAGCAATGTTTGAAGTCAAGTTAGGAACAGGGGGTGCTGGGCTGGACTCCATCTTTGACGTTCCCCAGAGGCGTACACACACGCCTGTCTGGACCCCGTTAAAACAATCACGGCTTCAATCCTCAGGAACCAGCCCCCAAAGCCCTTTCGTTAGCAAGTCACGGATAGAGGTGACTGGAGGGGTGCACTGAGAGCGTTTTAAAGCAATTTTGCACATGATAACGATTATTTTTATGACTAATACTAACATGAATCCTTCTCATGACTGTAAGATTATTGCAATATTATTCACATTAAGAGGCTGGGGATCCTTATAGTCCTTTAAAAGCCGGTCCATGTAAGAAGATTGCAGACTATTACCCTAGCTGGAAAACGATTCACTCTTTCGGCTTATGTTAGAGTAGACATTCATGCTTCTACAACTCGAGGCCTCTGGTTCAATTCCTGCTTCTTAGAGGCAAAAAGTAGATATACAGCGATCATACCACCACTTCTCCAGGGCAGTTGAAGAGGGAACCCGGTCTGTTAAGAACAAGAGTGGCCAAACGTCCTAACCCTTCCAGCCACCAACCAAAATTTCAACCCAGCCAAAAGCCACAGGACGCAACACACAAAGCCCATTTCCTAGTGTCAAAAGATTAGAACAGCTAGGGAGGAGGAGGAAGTTTTTATTTAACTACTGTTATTTCTTTGGTAACTGCATGTCAGCTACCCAGGAGCCATATGCTATTTGCAAGCTGCAGCTTAGCCACCTTTAATATAAAGGACCAGGGATCAAATTTGGCCCCTTCAAGTACTCTGCAAGTTCCCAAAAATATGTTCACCGGAGTCTAGGATTTAGGAACCAGCCTGAAACTAGGCAGTGCGGTATGGATCTAGCTACACTTTTCCTGGATATCTAAAAAACATTGTTGTTTGGTATCCAATTATTCCTGTCTGGTTCCTTAAAAAGGGTAAAAGCCCCAACACTAGGAGAGTAGGAGTCTTCATGCTTCAACAAGAGGTAGGTAGGTAGGTAAGAGGTTTCTCCGCTGCTCCAAAACAGGAATGAAAGATCCAGGCAAGGATATTTGTGGGTAGTATCTTTTATTGGATCAGCGTCAGGGTTGGGATAGACTGAAAAAGAACGAGCTGCATTCAAAATCTTGTCTAAGTGCATCCCAACTACACAGTCTGTCCAATAAAAAACAATAAATAAATACATATCACCCACAAAAATCCTTGCCTCTTGCATAGTTCCTGGACCGCCCCAATTGCCATATCACTCCAACGCTACCAATAACCGATCCAGAAATTTTCATCCTGCCCAAAACCTATTTCTGATCATTAAATGTGTGCATTTTTTTTTCCCCATTTCTAACACAGTCATTTCTCCCTGACTTCCATACCAAGTCAGAGAAGAGAGCGCCCTGGTACAAGAAGCCTTCAATACTTGCAAGACAGATGTTTTAATCTAATCGATGCTAAGTACCGGTATTTATCATGCCATGTTAGCATTATTAATAGCATTAAGTGGTGTGCAAATATATTCAAAGGGGCTCTCGGATCTGTAGTGAGAACATTGGAGTAGCTGAGCAGCCTAAAGTGATGGGCCAAGTACTTGACATTAGGAACAGCGCGTTCCTCTTCAGCTCACTTAAGCGCCGCCATGACCAGAAACTCAAGTCTGTAGTTGAACTAGACCCAAACCTTTTCTAGAGGCTTGGACAGTTAGGTTAACTGTTTTTATTACCATTGCTTGTTGCATCTCGTGCCACCCAGAACCTGAAGCCAATGTCCCCAAACCAGCAGGTTCTTGCAATAGGTCTATCCCAGCGTCTCCCACCCAACTGGGTTGCTTTGATCCCAACCTGCTGACAGTTTCCAAAAATTATAAGTGAATTATTGTCATCAGCACTCCCCCACCACGTTTCCGTTCTCCCCCCAGAATACCAAGATGGGTTGCAAATGCTGAACCTCTGCTATCCAGCCTTGCCCCCAGCAGGTGGTACTTCACCCAGCCATTGCTCATGCCAGCTCCAAGTTGCTTATCCTGTCATTGTTCATATCCTCCCTGGTAGGAAGGAAGAGCAGCCTAAGGGTGCAGTTGCTAACCTAGAACCCAAGATACAAGTTAAAATTCCCTACCCCGCCACCGACATCCTGCATGAACTCGAGCAAGTTACTTAGCCCTGTTCTGCAGGACCCGTGGAAGAAGTGTGCAATTGTTATGGCTTCCAAAGTACTTTTTAACCCACATCTGACATGAAGCCTTCCTGCTGCCTCTCGAGCGCACTGTTCAATGCAAGAATTCAGTTCCTGCGGTTCCCGTTGGATAATAACCACTTGGACTTAAAAAAAGGAGCCTGACAATGTGACCCACCCTCCACTGGATAATAACCACCCAGCAAAGAGCCTTAAAGAAGGGTGCTGACAACATGAGCACCCACCCCATCTCCGACTTTATGGTGCCTGGGTTGCATCAGCAGACTATCCCAGCCTGGCGATCTTTGGGTGGGGAGGACAGAGCAGTGTTTGAAGGATGGAGCCCACTTCTATCCTTAGAAGATGAAGAAGTCAGAGAGCTTCTAGGACCAGGCAGCTGCAGTGAACCAACGGTACCCATTTTCCCCTATGTAGTACAAGCAATGCTAAGGGCACATCCTGAGCAGATAAACCAGACCCAGGAAACACTGGCCATTTTGTTCTGGCTCTGCTTTGAAGGATATGATAAAAAAAATAAATTAATTAATAGATAAAAATTAAAAGAATGTAAAAACTAGTCAGAACCAAATGCAGGACAAGAGGCTCTGGGAACATATTTAAGAAACATTCCCTTTTCCTGAGAGATTGATGACTATCTTCAACACCACCCAAAACATTTCTACCAGGGGTATACATTTTACCCGCTCCTATAAACTCCTTTGGGGTTTTCTCCACTGGGAAAACCGTGGCAAAATTCACAGCGTGTTGTTTCACATCTCCTTTGCGGAAATCAGACTGAACCCCCAACCATTGCATGAAGCTGTTGAAAACTAGCTAAGGAAGCCATTGGCTGGAGACATTAAGTGCACCAGAAGAATAGAAAAGCAGATTGGGTAGGAGCGTGCCTTTTCTTCCCATTAAACCGAAAAGATAGAGAAACAGCCAGCCTCATGAAACGCTGGACATCTACCACCTCCCCAGTTAAAAGTCCTGGATGTGTAGTGTAGGTCTTCCTAGGTTATGACCAACGTTGGATGGGGACCAGGCTTGGTTCCCATCCAACGAGGTCAGTTATGGTGCGTTACTCAATTATGTATAGGAACATGCTAAAATAAGCCAATGGCTTAGACTTCAGCAAGTGGTTGGTCATGAGTAAGATTTAATCAAACTGTCTAAATCCTACCAGAGGAAAGGCAATGGATAATAACTTGGATGTAAACATAGAAAATCCTGCAGACCCATCTCTGTCAAGTCCATGCAAGAGTAGACAAGAAATAATTTTGGTTTTGACAAAAAAATAAATAAATAAATAAATTTTAAAAAGTGGCAATTCATCTCCTCCCCCTGTTGAAAGAAAAGGGGGGTGGAGAGGGAGAAGAGGAAAGAAAAAGCTGATTGTAATGAAAATTAATTTGAAAAACCTAAGCAAAGATCCTTGATGGTGTTGAGGCTTCCTCTCTCAGAGTTTGCAGAATGCTTCTGACCGGCTTTTCAAATTAAACAAATACATTTTATAAACATCTATCCTTTTTTAAAAACCTTTAAAAAGGCCCAAATCAGAACAACAGGCTTTGATTGTTAGCTAAATGAAATGCTTCAAATCAGCGCAATCCAAAATGCTTCCAGAAATTCATTTTGCAGGAAATTTAAATAAACAAACAAACCAGCCAGGCTTCTGCTCCATTTTGAGATAGTAGAAAAACTGGAAGCCGGCCCCCAAAAGAGAAAGCCTGGTTCCCATCCAACATTGGCCATGTACGGGCAGGCCATAACCTGGATGTATAGGGTAGGTCCTCCTAGACCTAACTGGGGAGGTGGCAACTGGGGGGAGCACTATCCCAAAGTAACTATCATATTATCCCACTGGCCCCAGCCCATAGCGGGGTGCAATCCTGGTAGTTCATAAGTATTCGATCAGAGTGCCTAATAATGCTGTGCTAACTGAAGCTGGCTTTAATTAACTTTGCAACTGAGCTTAAGTGCTAATTACAGAAGCTGAGCTGCCAGGTACCTAGGACCACTACAGGGAAATGCACCTCCATTCCCTCGAAGCACGCTCTGCAGACTCCTGATGCCTTGAATATAGCTGGATATCCTGCTATATCCCGGCGCCCTGTATATAGCTGGATAATAGCATATTTTCTCATATGCAATACACCACCCCTCCCCACCCCCCAGCTGCTGGAAATTGCAGTGCATATTACATGACAGAAATACGGCCAGAGCAATTTCTGCCCCTTCCTGGAAAAAGTGGAAGTAAAATCTGCCCACAACAAACAGGGAGCAGAACATGCTTCTTAGCTGCTGCTATATGGTTACTTCCAATGGAAGATGTTTCTTCCCCTTCATTTTACTTTTCAAGAAACAAGGTGTGCATTATATTTTTCTGCATACGTGCTTTGAAATATGGTACTTGCTAAAGTTTACGAGCCTTTTAGCTGTGCCGTATGCAGTTTATAACAAAAATCACCCTTCTCACTGGTGTGTTGCTCTTGGGAAAAGCCATGCTTTATGGCTAGATCTTTGAATACAAGGAAGCAAGTTGCAGAAGTTCTGGCAGAGAAGAAGTCAAAGTCTTTTGACAGGTAAGCAGCAGTCCTAAACCCTGCTAACCAGAGCAGGTGTCCCTGGGAGGAATGCAAGGAAACCCACAGACAGCAGGCACCTCATGGCTGGAGGAGCAAGTCGCCAAGAGTGGATCTGGGAAGAAACCAGACTAGAAGCTGGATGACGATTGTAGGTAGAGATGTTTCCTCTTCTTGCCCCAGGGCTGCTTGCCACTCCAAGTAAAACTAGAGGCTTGACCCTTTGGTCAATTAGTTATACTCCACTGACAGCTGAATTCAGTGCAGACGGGTGATCTTCCATTATTCCCAACCAGCCTCTCATCAACCCAGGCAGAAGGGGTCTGCAACACAGACCTACAACAAGTCAAGTGTTTCCCTGATGCTGAGATGTCTCAGATGACTGCAGAGAGTTTCCCCAAGAGATTTAGGACTGTTGCATGGGCCAGCATTGAGCAGAAGGCACAGAGAGCTCCTCAAAAAGGAAGATCTTTCAGTCTTGGGCTAAAAAAAAACAAAAAACAAAAAAAACCACAGACTTTTTCCCGTAACATCAGGCATTTCTCCAATGATATAATTTGCATTCCAGTCCCGCATTACTGAAGGCACTGGGAAATTTGCCAATGGTTTTGAAGGACATTGTATTGGGCTCTCCCTGAATAAATAGCCACTGCTCCCCTGCCCAATATAAAAAGGTTGTATTTTAGATCCAAACGTGGATCTAAAATACAAGCCTATCAGCATATAGCACCCCTGCACCTACATTTGTAGGAAACAAAGGTGCTGCAAGTACCTGTGCACACTGTTATATACTCACTAGCGCATCATGTGCTGGTGTACTAACCTGTATGTGATCATGCCATGTCTATTGGTTATTTTATGTTTATACGTGGACTCAACTGTAAATAATCACTAAAAGGTTGGAATGAAAGTGCAGGCTCAAATGAAAAAGGGGCAAAAGGAAAAGCTCATGGGGGTAACATTGAAAAAGAGAGAACTAGAAGGAAAATAGATGTTCTTGGGAAAGTCAAGGTGGCCCGGTGATGAGCAAGGCAGGACTCCTGGGTACAATGCCTGGCTCTGCCTTGGCCAGATCATTTCCTTTCTCTGAGCCTTCATTTCCCCACATGATTTTTTTTTCATCTATCCAATAAGCTCCTCAGGGCAGGGACGGTCTCTCCCTACAAGCGTGTACAAACCCAAGCCCAATAGGTTCCCCGTATCGATTAGGTCTTCACAGCACGTCTGCCACACCAATAACAAATGTCACACAACGTATTTAAATCTAAGCATTCGTTGAGAGGAGTAGACCAGACCTCATCAAGAAGCGATAGCCAGCGTCCTGCAAGTTGGGCCCATGGCAGATCCACCCCCCTCCTCACTTCACCAGCAATCTGCAGGAGCCCCAAAATCCACAGTAGTTTGCAGAACGAGGGTCTGAATTAAACGGTCTCCGGCGATGGCTGAAGCTTCCCCCCACCAAGCTCATTGTGATTGTGATCTTTAAGGAGTCGTTAGCAGAGACGATAATAACAGGAGGGCCTGCCTGGTGCGTGATGCTAGGTGCAGCATGAACACAAAACGAGGACACCGACCCTGAAGAGCTTAATGTCTCAACACGGTTCAACCATGAGCTGAATGCAGCCAGGGTTTTGCAAGGACGTGTTTACTGAGCAGCTGGCACAGAAGATGTAAGGCCAAGAGGAACCAAGGGAGGTCAACTCCAACCCCCTGCTCAAGGCAGGAACGTCCCTGGGTAAGCCTTTCCACACATGTGCATGGCTAATCTATTCTTTAAAAAAATTGCAACCCTCTTGCACAAATAAGCCTCAAGAAAAAGCCAAGCACCAGGGCCATAACTGCCCCCAAAAAAACCTTATCATGCCATGGTGCCCTCAAACACACCGCACTGCTCCGTGCAGGCTACCTCCTTGCACCGTGACCGAGCAAGGGAGCTCTGCTCCGTCCCATTTGGGGTAGCTTGTGTGGCACCATATGGCGTATCCGAGGGTGCTACTACGTGACATGGTAGGATGGTGAGGTAGACACCCCTGAAAGTCCCCATGAGGACAAGCCCTTAGTGGTCTTGTCCCAGCTCACGAAGTATTGATAAGCTAGAAAGCTAAGACCTTGACCTTGACCCAGTATCATCTGGGAAGCCAGGACAGAGGTGATGCGTTCCAGGACAGCCTGCACCGCCGAGAAAAAACACCGCCGCATTTTGTATTCGCTGGCATTTCCTCAGCGCGGATGGCTTCATGCCCAGGCATCAATGTCTAGGTTAATAACTGAAAAATGCAGTAAAACATCCTCAACGTACCTGACTCCTTGAACTTTAGCAGCTTGGCAAAAGCCTTGAACACTGATGAAATACTGCAGGGAGATTTTTTATTACCGCTGAAACACTCCGTTAAACACATAATTGTATTAATTTTGAACAAAAACAGGTTTCTGGACGTCTCTGCCTTTATTATGTTAAAAGGGTTGGAACAAGTTCTGCTTTTTGTTATTTTAATTTGCTGTTAAGCAAACAACAGCCGCCGAGCGTTATTAGAGCCATTTAACAAAAGGCAGGATGGGTACTCGGTTAAAAAAAAAAAGACTAAGATCAGTCGGTAAAAAAAAAGGTGGGGGGAGGGATATCACAAATGGTCAACCTTTATAAGGTTCCAGTCAAAATGAATTTATAAAGCGTTAAGAAAAGGTCAACCTGGTGCTATAGATTAGATCGCCCAGCAGATCAGTAGGTGGTCTGCAAGCGGGGACTGATGTGTTTGTAGTCATCTATACAATACCTATTACTCAAAGGAAGTATAGCCCGGCAGCTCAAGCAGGACCCAGGGCCTGTGGGGAAGCAAGTTCAAATCCCTGCTCTGCGACAGGGCTCCTATTCCTGTATATTTATGATCGGTGCCTTAGTTGCACCTCTGTAAAACAGAAACACTAGCGCTTCCCCATCGCACAGGGCTGTTGCAGGAATAAATGCATTACACATTTAAGAGTGCTCAGAGACGCTGGTAACAGGCCCCAAAAGCAGATTTCATTAACACGTGCATGGCATCTATTAACTATAATACAGCTGAGGGAACTGGGCTTATTTAGTCTGCAGAAGAGAGGGGGATTGAATAGCAGCCTTCAACTCCCGGCCGGGGGGCTGCAAAGAGGATGGAGCTGGGCTGTCCTCAGTGGGGGCAGATGACAGAAGAAGCAATGGGCTCAAGTTGCAGCAAGGGAGGTTTAGGTTGGATGTTTGGAAAAACTCTTTTACTAGGAGGGTGGTGAAGCTATCTGGTAATCTAAAGAAATTGTGGACTCTCCATCCTTGGAGGTTTTTAAGGCCTGGCTCAACAAAGCCTTGGCTGGGATGGTGTAGTTGGAGCTGGACCTGCTTGGACAAGATGTGACCTCCTGAAGTCCCTTCCAGCCTGAATTTTCTGTAATTCTATAAGCGAAACCTTAAGGGCAAGCACAACCACGATGTCTAACGGCAGCTCCATGCTCCCATATACTGCCACATCCAACTTGCTCGATTGTCAGGTCTCCAGCGTCATACCTTGCGCAGCTCACCCCCTAAACTCCCCACCATCACCGCCCCATAGACACCATCACCAGCAGCATTTGGATCCTTTAACTTCTCTTGACCCCTCTCTGTAAGAGGCCAGGGGTGGGCCAGCAATACTGTACATCCCTGCATTGACAGCTGTGCCTTCTCACGTGGCTCAGATGCAATGCTACAGCCCAGCAGAGCAGTCCACTTTAGCTCTCCCATGTTTCATAGCATTGGAGCTGCACTGACAGTACAATTAGGGTGGAAAATTAACTCTGCTGCAAGGTGCTTCTCAGGGAGCCAGAGGCTGTCGGCACCTCAGAGATGATCAGCCCTTTGCAGGGGTTGGCTCCCATGGGAGGGACAGGCTTGCAGCAGGTTCCTTGCAAGATCCAGCAGTCAGCGCCGGAGCCAGCAACAGAGCCGAGGGCGCAGATTGCCTCCATCACCCCCCAGAAACAGAGCACACAGGGTCAGTCAGAGGTCCCCCCAAAATCATGAGGCTGGCCCTTCTTTTGCAGCAATGGGCTGGGGGAGGACGGGGACGACTCCATCAGCTCCAGAGCAACAGCTAGTGGATGCCAGGATCCAGCCCCAGGCATTTCAGAAAAGATAGTTCGTTCTCTTGGCCTTTCCCAGACCATGTGATGCTAAGGTTACACACCAACAGGGATCCTGGCTCAAAGATGGGGCGAGAAGTCTGTGCAGGGAGCGGTGGAGTGACCGTCAGGTTTGATGGCTAACCAGGGTTTCCTCCCTTCCCTCCAGAGCTAATTTTACAGGCAGAACCAGTACCAGGTGCTGCACCCAGGCCCCTTGATATGTCAAGCTGGCATTTAACAGCATCTCCCCATCCACAGCTGTTTAAAGTAGGCACCCCCCACACGCACCATCACCACATCCCCCCTAAAAAAATAAAACAGCTACCTTCTGGAGCCGGGTCCTTTTACTGCTCCAGTCACGCTCCCACGTGAAGGCAGACAGGGCTGTGGTTTCAGCAGATGGAGATGCCCTGCTCCCTTATAAATCTGCGGGCAGCTGGGAGCCTCGGCTCACCAGGGACCGACTTGCCAGTGTCTCTGGCTGACAATAGCATCCCGTCGCGGGGTGCTCAGAAGTACAATTCGATGTGCTTTTCCACCCAGCTTCTTGCACACGTTTGCTCAGCCACTGATTCTCCCTCGGACACATCCTCCCCGTCTCTTCACCCCAAGGGAGCAGCGTGCCTTGTTTGTCCGGGTTGCCAACTCTCGCAGCAGGCGACCGCCACGCACAAGGGACGTTCCTCATGTCATCTCTCAGGAGCGCGCCAGAGCTGGGACTTCGCCATGAGAGCGATTGTTCATCGAGGCGATCTCGGGCACCCAGCTTGCTGTCCGAGGTGGAGTCCTGCAAGACAACCGAGAGACTGGTTCTGACCCCATCAAAACTTCTGAGCAAGATGGCACATCTCTTTCAGCATGCAATAACATGCCGTCAACACCTGTTGGATCTTACCACATGTTTAAGAGCTTTTCTGAACTGGAGGCCTTCAGGGCTACATAAGCAACCGCACAGGTCAGAGAGAAACAAGCTGAGAGATGAAAGGCTCCAGTGAAATCAGTGTGTAGATGCTCAAGCTTATACAAGTGCTTTAAATCCGCCTCTTCTGGGTTGTGATCGGGCACACAGATGATGCAAAGAGACTGTGGGAACTGGCTACAGTAAGGAAGCAACTTAAAAATCAACCCCACTGGATCTAAATGTTCCTCGGGCGTTTTTCACAAGCGAAGTGACCCTACCTGCAAACTGTGAGCAACAGCCCAGTCCCTCACATCAGGCAGCGCATCGAGACAAGTTTGCGATGAAGACCACTTCTGGCCATCTCGCTAGTAAAAAAAGAAGAAAACTATTTTTCCTTTGACCTCTTTTTGGCACCTAAGGTCACTGCCACGCTAGAAACCAACGTAGTGGAGGTTCCAGGAAGGTCCAGGGGACCTGGGTTGGTATACACCACTGACCTCTGTTAGACCAGGCCAGGAAGGACTCACAACCACCCAACAAGCATGTGTTTTTTCATTCCCCATAAACACGGCCAAATGCCAAAACAAAGTCGGGTCTGTGCCCACCATAGGTTACAACTCGCCTCTCAGTGCCGAAAGCAGCCTATGACCACTACCACCCATCGTGTTTGAAAGAGCCCTACAAAAAGCCACAACTCTCAGCCCTTTCCAGGGAAGACCTGACCCAGCTAGGGTGGGATAATTGTATAGGGCTGGCTACCATCAGACTCCCCTGCCTCTCAAAGGGGCAAGTGACCTGATCTCACCGAAATCCAGCTGCAGGGGCAAGGCTAAAATCAGAAGCTGGAGAGGAAGGGCTGCAGAGACAATCTGCACTGCAGGCAAGATGCACGCAGGTTAAACACCACTGTGATGCATTATGCAGCATCACAGATGGAGGGTGGACTGATCCCTGAAAGTCTGACCCTAGAGAAAGGTACAGAAATATATCTATATTTATACATCTATATATAGACCCTACCCCCCTCCCCTCCACCACAAGTTCCAAAGCTAATTAATTCTACATTAATTATTTAGGGATAAATTTTAAAGCTGTTCATAACAGCCTAATTCCCACTGGTTTCCCTGAGATATAAAGGACCTAACTGCCTTTACAAATTTAGACACTAGTCCTTACCACTGACATAGCTTTGGCAGAGCATGAGTGCTTGCAGGGCACCAAGGACACAAAAATACTTCAAACAGCCCTAAACCAAGTCAGATATTGCCACCGCCAGCTCTGAGAAAGGCAGCATTCGCTTTCCCATCCTGCGAATGGGGAAACCGAGGTACAGGGGAGCATGCCCAAAGGTTAAGCTGTTTTTAGGCTGCTTCGCCAAATAGTGTCGAGTGGCTCATAGAGAACAGCCCTTGCACAGAGCTCTGTGCCAGCAGAAGAACACAACTCTGGCTATACAGAGCAAGAAGGCAATGGGGGCATGTCAAGGATATGCTGTGTGTCATGGCCTAGGTTGTGCAGTCTGGGAATCAAGACTCCCTACAAGTTAACCAGCTGCTAAGCCAGGGCCAAGGGGCTGAGGATCAAGCAGCTGCAACTGGCTCCCAGCTGCCCTCCATCTTCACTAGGTCCCAGCCGAGCCCTCCACCTCTTAATGAGGATCCTACTCCCAAGGGATGCAGGGCCAGAGCCTCTGCTGATGTAAATCAGGGAGGTTCGGTGGAGCGGGGCCAGGCGACACCACTCGAGCATCTGGCCCAGTGCCTTTAAAGGCCTTCCAAAATGGGTTTCTCATTGAAGCTTTTCAGAACAGCTCCTGGTTCATCAGAAACATGTCCACTATGGAAAGCACCCGACGGGGTTTCCATTTCCCGTTGAACAACGTGTGCGCGTGCAAGTTCCTTGTCGTTTCCTGGCCCGGAGGTGGTATCCTGTGCCGGGGAACTACAGGCTCTCTCCGTTTCCCCTACATTGCCTTGACAACTAAACCCGAACTCCGGCACTCGGAGGCTTGCCTTTCCCCAGCATGCAGGGAGGAGAAGGCAGGCAACACCGAGCCCCGTGCAAACTCATGAGACAGCCCTGAACGTCCCCGGCGGTAGCCGGGCTGGGAGCTGAGCGCAATGCAAGAATCTGCCCCGGCAGGCATCTCCCCGCCCTGAACCACAGGTGCTTACAAGGGACGTGTTCTTAAAGCTGTTGAGAGAGAGACCCCTTTTTCTTCCTTTCCTGGGGGTATTCAGCACTTGAAAATCATTATCAACAGGGGGAAAGAAATTCCTCCTTTCATTCTCTAAAATTAACATGAGTTGCTCTAAACGCTCATTGTACTGTTTCAATTTTTCACACACCCTGGAGTCTAACTATGACAAGGGGAGACACAGCAGTGGTTATGACCCAACTTTCTGGCTAATTAAGAGCCTTGTCAAAGAGAAGTCTCTCTCCCCGGAGAGCCCAGGGCAGGAAATGAGTGACTTCCCATGACATGCGAGCCAAGCTTGAGGCTTGTCTGCTTCCTTCAGCACTCACTGTGCAGCCAGCCCCTGATTTACAAGCTAGCGCGGAGGGAAGTGTGACCACCCTGCCGGCGAGCACGTGCTGCAGCAGAAGAAGGGACTGGCACTTCGGCCAGGTTCAGAGAAGGGCGTGCAAGAAAAGATACCCGGGAGTGATGGGGCACCAGATTTAGAGGCCAGAGCCCCCCCCGCCCCCTGTCATTTATCTGAGGTTTGTTACATAAAACCAATCTACTCCCCTTCCCCACCAAATACAATCAGGAAACCTCTCCCCTTGGCCATTCTGGAGCTCTGCTTTTGGAGTTAGGAGGAAGCAAGTCAACAAAACATTTAAGCAAGTGCTTCACTTGTCATTTCAATGGGTGCAAAATGCAATCTTAAAATTAAGCATGTAGTTCAGTGCTGTGTTCAAATGGAAATGCAAAACTCTAATTCAGAGATGCTACCTTTTATTAGGCCAGCTAAGAAATGGCAAAAAATAACAATAATAATAATAATAATATTTTTTTTTTCCTGCAAGCGTTCAGGCATGTGCACACATGCCATTTTTCAGGCTCAGGGAAAATTATAGATGGTAAAAAGTCCCCATAGATGGAAAATAAACTTCATTTTAATGCAAAGGAAACTGAAGGTGAAGAAAGAAAAGACGTGAGCCATCATCCCAGACTATGTTAACCCTGAACCCCAGGCTATCAAAGGATGTGTGCCTATTTCAGGCAGGATTTTACAATTGGGACCGTCTCAAGGTTGAGGCCATTTCCTCATCAGCACCATGTTCTTCCTCCTCGTGCACTTCTCCCATGAAAAGAGAAAGCAGCTCGATGATCCTGCCGCGGGGGTTGGTTGTGTTCTTAATTACAAGGGTTGTAAATCAGAAATAACTCCTTTGAAATCCATAAAAGTTGTGTCAGAGGCTATGCTGGTAGGAGTCACGGTCAGGCCTCCCATTGTTAGTTTGAGTTTGTTTGTCCTACAGGAGCACCCAAAGGCCCCCTCGGAAAAAGGGACCTGCTGCACTAGGTGCTGCACAAGCAGATGCTTAGAAACGCTGGGTGATGTCTTTTAAAAAGCCCCCAAGAGATTTAGGAGCTTAAGCCTCATTGAACATCAGTGGAATTGAGGGACCAGGTCCAGATAAGCAAATCAGGCTCCATAAATGAGACTTAGCACCAATAAGTTGGAATGCAAAGGTCCAATGGCACCTAAACTTCAGCTCTCACACATGGGCAGAGCCAACAGGAACCTAGATCCTAGCTAAGCTCCATCGTAGGATCTGATCTGGAAGGCAGGCTCAGCCTAAGCACACCTAACACACACCAATGGGACTACATTCAGGGCGAAGTGCTGGATTCAAGACCCCACTTGCAGGGATGATTTCTGACTGTTGTCCCGTGACCATCTCATGTCAAATGCATGACGACTAGTCCAGGCAATAGGGACTAGAACATGGTTTTTTCCCCCTTTCCATCTGCACAACTAAGCTCCGTCTTGCTGGCCCTGTGCATCGGGGATGCATTGCACACGGCTGTTTTCAGGAGACAGGGATGGTGGCCATACACAGACTGGTCTCCAGCTTGCCCGTTAGGGTGCTCTGCGACAGGATGGGAGATGCGGGCTTGAATCATGTCAGGCTGAGGGTCTTCCACATCCTGGGCGAGTGCCCTAAACACAATGCCATTACACAACAAGCGAGTGGCACTATCACCTTCCCATCTGGCTATGCTTACTGGAGACACCGACTGTGGCAGATGGAGTTTTTTCTGACCTCCATGTCGCCCACCAGACCCAATTAATTCAGACTCCCAATTAGTTTATGGGGCTGCTGGAGCAGGGCTGTTCTGGATCATTTCTTCTTACTTAGGCACCTACATCCTACTGCTAAATTCCCTTTAGGCACCCAAGCCAGACATCTGGACCTCTGCTCTGAAGAACCTGCACTTCAATATGATCCAGAACACATTGACATTGATAGGAAAAGCCCCGCTCATTTCAGCTGGTATTGGATTGAGAGGCAAGAGATGAAGGGAAAGGCATAAGCCTAGACACGAGAGCTCCCCAGACCCATACACAAAACCTGGAACTCAGAGGAAATGTCCAGAGACATTTGTAAACTGTGGGTCCCTCCTTCATAGTTGTCCCATCCTGCCGGTCGATGGGTCTCGGCTGCATTCTGGCCAAAGAAGAAAGCACCAAAATACCAAGAAAAAGGGAAGTTTTCCCAACCTAGTTTAAGTGTGGAGTCAGTGGCTCTGCACAGTTTAGAAAAGCAATAGGGCTCTAGCCTCACATCACATCCAAGCACCAAGGCGTTTCATGCAAAACAGCTGTAACTTCTAGATCCAACTAATATCTGCTTTAATAAACTTTTCTGGC